ACTCCCCAATGAGCTCTGAAGGACTGTAAAGCACAGTCCTTTTTTTTTGGCTGGGTTTGTTGCAATCAAACCAGTACTGAAGGACTGGCTCAGGTCAACTTCCCAGGCCAGCTTTCAAACTGTAGATTCTGGGCCTGAGAAAGCTGATAAGTAACATTTGCAAGTCCAAAGAAATTTCATTATTATCTGTAACGATTACTGGCTGTAGGAAAAAAACCGACTCACCTTTCTGGCAAGCTTCAGGTCTTCGATCAGGTCCTGCTCTCCCCTGGACATTTCATATATTGCCTGTGAGGAAGGGGTATAAAGCATCGAGAGTCATTTTTAATCCCAGCCTTCCTCTGAAAGAGCCTTTCAGCCCACACAAAGTACATCCCATTTCTGCAGCTTGAATAGGCGGGTTTGCCATCTGAATCACTGTATGCCACCTGGGCATGACACCCTCATGTAAATCTACGGCCTTTCTCAGCTCTGAGAAACTGCCATTACTTACAACTGTGTGAAAGCTCTGACGCTCAAGCACAAGCCAAATTAAATATTGGTGCCTTCTAAATCACTGCTTTTTACACAGGCAAGCACGAAAAAAACAAAACCCAGAAAACCACAGAGGTCAAATCCCAGACGTCTTTAGTCAGCTTCTGTGTTGTCACTAGAAGATTTGTCTAAGAACTACAGGAAAAAGGCAAGCCAAGGCCTTGCTATTTGGCTTTCAACCAATTGTCAAGAGCTTTAAGAGAAAGACAGCTGGCTTTACAAGGAACCCGACTTCGGGGCTGCTGCAAAGCAACCAGCATGGCTGGGTCTTGAATTTCAGAAATGCTGAGCACCCCCGTGGAAAAGGTTTGGCATCTCTGAATGGTCAAACTGGGGAGACGAACTCCCTAGTGACTCAAGACAGAGAAGCCTACCTTTTCCCATGCCTAATGCAGAAATAAATCTAGTGGTTTCAAAATGAAGGTGCTCGACTTCGGGGCTGCTGCAAAGCAACCAGCGTGGCTGGGTCTTGAATTTCAGAAATGCTGAGCACCCCCGTGGAAAAGGTTTGGCATCTCTGAATGGTCAAACTGGGGAGACGAACTCCCTAGTGACTCAAGACAGAGAAGCCTACCTTTTCCCATGCCTAATGCAGAAATAAATCTAGTGGTTTCAAAATGAAGGTGCACAGGAAGACACAGTCACCCTCAGATGCTCGTAACTCCTGTCCTCGTCAAGGAAACAGCCCAAGCCAAGCCTTTCCCGGTCCTGCTGTTTAACGGAGAGCCTACCTCCTGGCGCTTGATTTCTTTGGTGCTCAGGGACTCTTTCATGTTGACATCTAACATCTCAGACCAAAGCACGCTGTTTCTTCTTTTAGGAGGAGTGGGAGCAGCAGATCTGCTACATGACTTATGGGCACAGGCAGGAGACTTGCTGTCGCTGCGAAGGGCAAATGACTAAAGGGATTGAAAAAAAAAAGAAAAGAAATTAAAAAAAAAACTACACAGAGCCAACATTTCAGAAGTATTATAGTATTATCCGTACCCCTCCCAATTCTTCACCCTCCTCTGTTGTACAGGGCAGGAAAACACACCCAGACACTTTTCCTCAGATAAAGGAACACTTTAATCAAGCTGCTGAGAGAGCCCTGAGTGCCCAGCGATTGGCAAGCTTTTCCCTGTGCCTCTCCCTGCACTGATCCAGCAGCAGCGCTTGGTGGAGGGTCTATTTCCAAGGTATGAGGAAGTAAATAAGCTGGGATCATAATTCTACCTAAAACAAGGCTAATCAGGAGCCACTTGAACTTTGCTCTCGTAATTTGCTATGTTGCTTTAGTACATTTAGTACCGAATATTTAGTAACACAGACACAGAAAGGTGCTCTTATCTGCATGTTTAGGGTATTGTGCTCCTTAGACAACACTTCTCTAACGTGACTGAAAGATTGCTGAACAGCAAGGTCAGTGCACATTCAAGCACATGCTCCAATACACGTATCTCAAGTACTGGAACAGTTTATCAACTAATTCTCCCTATCTGAATCACTTCACTTCTATTAAACCCTCAATAACCTGGTTATCTAGCAAGCTGCCTCTGAACTCCTGGGCTCTTCTTCATCCCCAAATCTCAAGCAAGCTTTCAGTCCTTGGATAAATCATACAGAAGACTTCCAAGAGAGGCCTTGAAATCCCAGTACCTTCCCCATGTCTCTAGACTTCTAGGACTGGAAGGCTCTGCTTTTTACCTGTATTGTCTGCCCAAAGCGTCGAACTGCACCATTTCTTACAGGAGAGATCAAGTTCGCCAGGGACGTGACCCGTGCTAAAGGCCGAACCCGCTTATTGCTTGGCTCCTGTAAATAAAGCAGAGAACAAATTGTACTGGCTGTGACTCCCATTTCATTTCTCAAGCTGCCCAGGCGGGTTTAAAAAGCATGAACCCACTTAAGGAGTGGGAAACACAGCAAAGAGAGTGTTTTGAAGTAGCCATTCATCTTAAAAGGAAAGCAGAGGCTGTAAATATTTGTCTGAACTTTAAGGTTGCAATTAAACCGCAGAGACTTTGTCCAGCATAAAAGAGGCAAGATAACATACGCGTCAGTCAGAATTCAAAATAGGGCTCGAACAAGGACCGTTATGGTTTGAACATAAATAGACTGAAGCATTCTCCTCTGCAAGGCAAGTGACTGTCATCTAAAGATGGAGCTGTGATCTGCCTCTCCGTTTTATCATATTTTCCTTTGTAGAAAGAATGTGTTTTTTCCATTTTAATTTTAGTTTGGAGAGAAAAGTAGCAGTCGGAGCCCAGGGCAGCCTCAGCAGCTATTCTAACAAACAGCAAATGACCACACGCTGAACATTCCTGCGAAGGACACGCACACATAAAGCAAATGAAGTTTAAAACCTTTGGTTTACACAACTTCCTCCCCCTCCCGCCCCCCCCCCCCCCGCCCTGCAAGCCGTCATAATTTTTCTTATACTTTGTTTAGATTTGAAAGATAGAGCTTCTGCTTTTCTACACCACTAATCCCTGCCGGGAGCCCAGAGCGGTTTCAATTCTGCTGCCAAGAAGAGAGGAAACGCCCATGGAAACCTCCTGCTGCTTAAGCTCACATTGGTTTTTCAAATCATGCTGGCAACCCTACACATTCTGCATGAAAAATATTGTGGACTGTACAGGAAAGGTGTGCAGAAGGGGATGCCAGGAAGAGGTGGACTCGCTAGGAGAAAGGCTAGGTGAGGTGTCCTTAAACATCTGGCAGGTAATTGGGGGTGACTCAACATCACCAGGAAGTCTCTTAGCATGAAGTTTAGATGAGTTGATGGAAGCAGCCTCTTTTTTGAGTTTTACCAAAGCTTTGTTAGGCATTTTTGGTTAATTACAGCTGAGTCCCTTCTTCTACATTCCAAAAGGCTAAAAGGCACAGGCTGCTTAGGACAAGCTCTCTGCTCTCTCTATCTGCAGTCTGAGATTGCAAGATAAGATGCCCAAACCCTTCTGTGTGGCAACAGAAGTGACAAATGCTGAAAACACCAAAAAAAAAGGGGGAATAGGAACACACAAGAGCTGGATTCCAGTCGTGAGACTGAGGAAGCATAAAAGCTACGTATGCGAGATCTGATTTCAGCAACATGACCCGAGGAGTGGCCCTGTCTGCCTGCCTACACGCAGCGTTAAGCAACAGAGGAGGTTAACTCACGCCGAATTAAGTCTTCAAAGTTGCGGGGGGGGGGGGGGGGAAACGAAAAAAACATGAAAAGAAACAATTTATGAGCGATGCAGGGCAGAGAGGCCTCTTGGCACAGCACAAAGCGCCTTCAAAGCTGTGCTTGAAACGTTTGGGTAATCTCAGAAGTATGAGGGTACTGTAAAAATGGGGGAAAAGCTGTAAGAGAGCACCCTTAACCCTGAGAACCTGATCCCCCGCTGGCTTTTTAGGTACAGCACTGGGAACACTGCAGTCACTTCTTCCCTTTGCCAAACGTGAGCTGCTGCGCTCCAGACAGAGTCAGACAGGAAAAGGATTATGCAGAAGGCTGGAAAATTAGGCTGGGCTCAAGAGAAGACAAAGAAACTTTGATTAATGACAGATATTTCTGAGTGGAGGAAAAGGATAGGTAATTTACTTCTAGAAAACCATAATCAGTGTACTAGAATAAAGGGCTTGAGAAACTGCAGAAATGCACGCAGAAAATATACAGACATAACCCACACGCAGCCCTGTCAAGGCCAGCAATATAAATAGCATGGAAAAGCAAAACGTGACGCTGAAAATTAATAGCAAGAAACCGCAGCGCTTGAGGACGCTTATACAATCTGTCGCAGTTTGCTGCTACAGGGTCAGCTCCGCAGCCTTTCCCGATGCGCCACACAGTGACACACTCCGTGCTGAGGGACATGTGCGAATGCCGACAGCACATCTGCGCGAGGCCGAAGCGACACATGCGTGTGCAGGAGGCA